AATGTACTCAATTAAAGTCTTTATAGATTTAATACTTCTAACTTTCAATATAGTATGTATATCTTTACAAAATTTAGCAGTCTTTCAGTTAACATTATAAGTCTTTTACGTACAAAAAATCATATTTTTTAGTGAAGTATTTTTAATAAATTAAAATAAAGACTTGTCCATGAATATGTTTAGTATTTGTTTTGAATAGTCAGTGTGCAAAGTGATTTTCATGTTAAGATTAAAAAATACTTTTCTTCATCTAAAAAATTTCAAATTTCATTTGTGTAATTTCAGAAACCTCTTAAATACATTTGAAATGTTTGGTTTCAACCCAAACTCTATACAAGGTTGGTCAGTTTGACTAACCTTGGTACCCCCCCCCCCAAAAAGAAATCAATAAATCTAAATTACCCTCTTTTTCTTTCTAGAGTGACTTCAAATGTAGTGTGAAACTACATTCATTTATCCTAAGTAGCTTTAAGCTTGTAACAGTATACATCTACTTATAATTAAGTTTTATTGTTTTATTGCTCTGTTGATTGCCCTTTGAACTGTGTTTAACTACTATCAGTGGCATTATAAGTTGTAAATCACTTGGAGAATATGCAGCTCATGTTACTCTATCGAATTACATTACCCACGAGCTGCTAGCATGCTAGCAGCGTGCCTCGTGAAACATTTTTATTATATTATTATTTATTTTACCTAAACTAATCGTAACTAACCTAAAAAGGTCCCTATTTTTACATTTTAGTTACTTTTATAATAATAAATAAAGAATAAACATCAAAAACAAGAAGTACTTATTCAATCTCCTTTTTTCTTGCTGTCAAGTGTCAGGAATATTTTGATGAAAAACATAAAAATATGAATCGTATAAGATAGGGCTTCTAAAATTTAATATTTTTTTTAACTATATGAGCATTTGGTAAGGTGCAAGTTTGAAGGTACTTTTGCCTCGAATTTATAAATTTCTTTTTTTTTAAAGTGAAATACCATGATAATTTGATTAGCATTGCTGAACATGATAATTAAATAAATATGAAAGGGGCCTTCATACTGTAAGTTTATAGTTAGCCCCCTCTAATCTCTGATTGTCAGATTTTAATAATATTGTTGTATAGATCAGCAAAGAAAATAGATTAAAATATTATGTAACATTCAATACAATATATAAATATATGTTAAACAACAAAAATTTTTTCTTTGGTTACCCATTCAGAAGTAGAGAAACTTTACTTGTGATAGTGTTTTGAACTGATGCTATTCCTTAAGCCTTTCAGTATTAAAACTTTTATTAAAAAGGAGTTTGAAATAGCAACATGATAGAATGCACTGTTACATACAAGGGTAGAAACTTGTTAAGTTTGAACAGATCTATTACTGTTTCAGGTATTGTTAACTGCTATCTTGTTTTAGCTTTATTAGTCATGTTATATAAATAAAAGTAATTAAATAGTCAGAGAAAATAATTATAAGTTTTAGAAAAACTAATTTGATTAAAAGCAAATTAACAATATTAGACAATACAAAACATGACTATACAAGAAAGTATTATATTTATATAATTAAACCTTGAAATAAGGAGAATGACAAGAGTTTTTACTAATGAAAATTGCATATAACACAAGATTGCTAGAGGGATACTTGTTAACTTGTTAATTAATATATATACGTGAATTAAAGAAGTCCTTTTAAGGATTGTAAAAATGAAAAGACAGGTAGTTATAAGGCCTCATTCCAAAATTACTTATTTGAAAATCAAGTTTTTGATCATGTATTTACCAGATATCCATCTGGAGATGAGGATTTTTTCATTACATCATTGTTAAGTATTTGTGTATGATTTAGAGCTTAAAACCCATGCTGTCAGTGTGTTTTGGTTGTGCACAATTTAGAGCTCAAAACCCATGCCGTGTGTGTGTGTGTGTGTGTTTTGGTTGGGCATGATTTAGAGCTTAAAATTAATGCTGTCAGTATGTTTTGGTTGTACATGATTTAGAGCTTAAAATTAATGCTGTCAGTATGTTTTGGTTGTACATGATTGAGAGCTTAAAACCCATACTGTTAGTGTGTTTTAGTTGTGCATGATTTAGAGCTTAAAACCCATGCTGTCAGTGTGTTTTGGTTGTGCACAATTTAGAGCTCAAAACCCATGCTGTGTGTGTGTGTTTTGGTTGGGCATGATTTAGAGTTTAAAATTAATGCTGTCAGTATGTTTTGGTTGTGCATGATTGAGAGCTTAAAACCTATACTGTTAGTGTGTTTTAGTTATGCATGATTTAGAGCTTAAAACCCATGATGTCAGTATGTTTTGGTTGAGCATGATTTAGAGCTTAAAACCCATGCTGTCATTATGTTTTGGTTGAACATGATTTAGTGCTTAACAAATGAGTTAACATCTGATGTAGTGAGTATCAGGTTGTGTATGTCTGATGATGTAGTTCCATCAAATGCTCATGCACGAAACACATGCTACATCTAAGATTTTGTATGTTTAAGAATACCTGTATAAGAAATCTTTAGAGTTTAAAAGTTCATTGAAAGAGACGTAGAAAGTGCTATTAAGAATGGTGGAAGAATATGGGTTGATTATAAGTAAGATAAAGCTATCATGTGTGATATTGGTGATATGAATGTTGAAAAGATATTTTAAGACCAAAAGTATTCTTTCAGAGTTCTCTTGTACAGTTTGTTTTATATTGCTTTGCTTTGACTTTAGTTTTTCTAATCCATTAATATTATTTCATATCAAATCGTTTTTTTTATTTTCAATTGCATTAATTTTTCACTGCTGTGAAATTACATTGCCATTCAACAGCTATTCACAACAATGCCAATATCTGAAAAAGCCTGAACTGTATACTATTAACCCTTCCATATGCGACCTGGGAACATAATATCACATGTTTCTATCTTTCACAATTGTTCTTAAGATTTGTTGTCTGTTGCTGTTAAATATGATGGTCATCATATCATCATGAAATAAAACTGTTATATATCTGTAGTGTTTTCAAAGAATTTGTGTTGTTTATGATAGCTCTGAATATCAAATCATGTGTATTCATTCTCCTTGGTGCAAACATGGCATTGAAAATTGTTAGTTGCCAATAGATAAGCTAATTTAAAAGTTTAGGGTCAAATGTCTTTGTTTTTCTGACCCTAAGTTTGCTCTTTGTGGTTATATATATATGTACACTTTACAGATTACAAGACTTGGCTTTAAACTAAATTGAAACACCCTTTGCATTGATTTACACACTTTTAGACTGATTTATACAATGTAAGGTAATGAAAATAAAATATACTTCCTAGATCTTTGAATGCAGGATAAGCAAATTTCAACACTTTTCAGAGCACATCCAAAAATGGATTAACAGAAGAAAAAGGTTTAATCTATCGTTTGATTGGTGTTGTTCTCAGTTACCACTTATTCTCATACTTGTATACTTATAAATTGTTTGGACATTTACATCATTTTCTATTACTTGTGAATAGTATTACAAATCATTACTCAGTCTATCATAGATAGCCCCCTCTGAGGTTATATTTTGTGGTTATGTTAAATTAAAATTTTGTACATTTTTTCATAAACTGACTAGGTTTATTACTCATCTGCTAAAATTTTATTGTGAATTGTCAGTTACCTTATGGTTATAAGCTCACTCTTCAACAGATAAACCTTTTGAGAATTGTATCAAAGTATATACTTTTCCACAAATTATTAAGTGTTATAGAAATATCAGTTTTTACTGTTTGTTGTCAAGTGCAACCAATTCTGAAAACATTGTGTAGTTTTTGCTTTGTTACATGTTCAGATTTTAAATTTTGTGCTGGATAAAAGATTATTGTAAGATTTTGTGTTTTGAAATTTGATTTCATTATTCATATGTGTATCGAGAACTTATGTTAAATTTACATCTTAGGTAGTTTTATTGGAGCCTTTGGAGATGGTCCAAGACCTATGGCTATCTTTGAGCTTTTAGACTACATAGTGAACGAGGTATGGTTAAAAAAATAGTTACTTGTATGGAGATAGATTTGTAAACGTTCATATGATATTTTATTAACTCCAAAATTAATATTCTTGTTTTTATAACAAAACAAAAAACAATATGGAAAACAAACAAGTGTGAGAAATATGATTGTGTACATTTAAGTCTTTATAATCTAATACATATGTTTGGTGCATTTCAATTGCGGTATGGTTACATTTATCATTTCAAGCCTTAAGTTAACACTTACTTTATTATCTAGGCAAATTAGAACCTTAATCTTGGGTGAGACCACTGGTCACTTTTTAAGTGTAAGAAAAAAATTTTGCCATTTACATGTAGTTATTCGGATCAGGATTAAACTCCTTAACATAAAACTTTGACATTTAACATATACTGGATGTTGTATTCTTCTTTTAATTGAACAATCCGAAATAACCTGCCCAACAGGAGGAATTGTTATAATAATAAATTAGCATCCTTGCAAACTTGTGTGGATGTAATGTGCTACTTGAGTGGTGGGTACGATGTGAAGCTATCTCTTGTTGCAGACTGTTTCAAGTAAACCCAAGAATATAGCACACGTGAATGCACTTTTTATGTTTCTGCCTAACCAGATTTAGTTTTCTTTCGATATGTCATTTAAAATTCAGTATTGTCTTGCGTCTGTATGTTTCAAACAACTTCAAGGTTTTCTCAATGAACTTCATTCATTGTTTTTATTTGTATTTAATTTTTTGATGGTTGTGGTTTCCAAAGCTTCAAAACTGTTGCACATGTCTATAAGTGTAATATATGAATTTGAAAGTGTATTTTTCAGGCCTACCTTTCATTGTACATAAAAAAACAAACAATATTTGAAAATTCTTAGTTATCCGTAATAAAGATAATCCACAATAGCTGTTATATCAAAATATTCATTGTATATATAAACCCTGAATATAGTAATAATTACTTATTGTTATTTTTTATCTGTGATGCACAACAACTACCTTGAATTGAATGAATTAAGAAAATTATCTACTAATGCATCAACACTTTTACAAAATAGAGATATTTTTCTTTTACAACATGTTCAGGTAATTATTTGATTCTCAGTAGATGCATGTGACTAAAAGTTAAACTAGATGTCTGACATTTGCTTTTGTTGAGTGCCCTATTTATTAATATTACTTTCTCAGATGACTGTGGTAAGCATTTGCATAGTGTCGTACAAAATAAAAGTATGGTCGTATATTCCTTTTTTTTTTCTTCTTTCATTGATTTAACATATGTTTTGTTTTCAACTAATTAGTAAAAATCCATTTATTATTAATTCTGTAAAGGGATTTTACAAAGACACAGTTTAAATTAAGTCAAAAAGCTGAATAATATTAACTACGGTTTTTCGTATTGATATTTGATGAATATATGTATGTATGTTGTTATATGTATTCCAGCCTCCTCCAACTCTTCCAACAGGAGTATTCTCTACAGAGTTTAAGGATTTTGTAGATAGATGGTAAGTTACATCCACAAAAATGTTTTTAAAACTTTTACTAAAATGTATTAGCCCACATTTGTGAATGTACTTTTAGTTTCAATTTTGTTTAAACATTTTTTGCCTTGTATGTTTTATGGCTATAAAATATTAATTGAAGTTTATTACATTCAAATTATAAGAAATTAACAAAGACATATCCATCAAATTAAGCAGTAAGAAAATAACATATAAATTGCAAAACTGTGTTTATTTTTATATATATGCTTTCTATGAAGATATCTGTTACATTTTGTTTAAAATCAAAATTTAATTTATCTTTAATTATAAAAGAAAATGATTGGGTAGACTTATTTAGCAATGTAATTCTTCCCAACACACATGAACATAAATTATTTTTTGGTCATGAAAAATAGAGGGCTGTAAAATTATAGAATTTGTAGACATGAGAATTTTTTTTCTACTTTATTTTATTTATTATTTATGGAAATAACTTTTGATAAATGAAGTTATCAACATTGAGATAGGGATGACTGCTCCCTCCTTGTTTTGACACTGTTGTGAGCACAATTTGAGGCTGATTCATAGGCAAACATTGCAATGGTGAAATACGTGGCTAGCATGTGAAATTAACCAAGAAACTTAGTGACGGTCCTGAATTTCAAAGATTAATTAAGTTTTTTTTTTTCTTCCATAAAGTTGGCAATCAGTAAACCAGAATGTTGTATTTAAAACTACAACTTCCCTCGGCCAGTAATATGAGGAATTTATTCTTTGATAGATTGTTTAGGGAGAGTATTCATGATGAAACTTAAGTTGAATGTTTCTAAAGTCTTCTGCCTTTCGACCCGAGGACAAAAGGCGGAAGACTTTCGAAACATCATCCTCTACACTTGTGTTTCTACAATAGGTAGTTGCCATCCATTCAACGAAGTTTCATCATAGGTGATCTAGTTGCATAGGGTTAAGAGTGTGACTTGTTAACATAATTTGTTTTATCTATTTCTATAAAATTATTTTTCTAACCCCTCACACCCCTCTCTCCAATGACTCAATAGGATGTTATAAAGCTCTGCTCTTAACACATGCTCATTGGCTGACATTTGTCCCAGGAAAGAACAAAATTAAATACATTTAACATATTAATTTTTTTTTATGGCCAAATGATTTGCCAAAATACGTATTTGAATCATCTGGCTATATTTTCCTTATCATTTCAAACATAAGCTACAAGTTATTTTGTGTCCGTGTTGCTGCAGTGTCAATATGTTTACTTGGCACAAACAATGAAGAAATAGAAATGGCATGTGAGGTAAACTTGTACCAACTTTGTTTGAGGTATATTTAGTTGACTAGTGGCACTACATCTTTAGATGTTCCCAATATTAGGCTATGATTTAAATTTGGTTCCATTCATAACTTCAAGGCCAAGCTATCACAGTATCAGTGCTCAATACAATTTATACAACAACCATCAATGCCCTAATATTCTAAGCATTGCATTATAAGATTAGTTTGGAGAATCGTCTTAGAAATACGTGTGTAAACTCAACACATCATTGGTCTGATTGTCAAGTCATGAACATGTGTACAAATTTACCAATATCTAAGTAAGTTGCTTTCTTTACATAAATTAATGTCGTATGTCATTCAATCTGCCATTGGTATGCAGTGTTGTAACCTAAGTTAAACAACACCTAGGTGACTAATGAGTTGACAAAGTGACATCAGTAAGTAAGGATTTTGTGCAGTATATTACAATAAAATTACAAATATTGCATTATGCTGCAATTCATTAGTTCTAGCAGTACCCACCCCTGTTAGATAGGTATGGCATTTTTATTGTCAAAATAGTTAAGTAGTAAGTTCATCTCATCATTTACATGTGGGAGTTGTGTTTTGTAATGATATTGTAACATCATTAGTGTATCTCCTGCATGTGTTTTTTTAAAACCATCTATTGTCATGTCTGTGTTTGTTGATAACAAATGTGCATAATAAAGACGACTTGTGAATTCAGGGACTAAGTTTTCAGTCGACACTAAATTCATGTCTATTGTGTTAATATGGTGACTGACCCTTTTTTTAAAACAACAAACATTATAACTATATAAAATTATGTTGAGATAATTACACATTTCATACAAGTAGTTTTCATCATTTTCAGTAAGCTTGATGATGAATATCAATAAAATAAAATCTGGTAACTTTAATAAGCAGGAAATATCAATGCTGTATGTATAGAAATTGTAACACAAAGAAAACGTGATAGAACTTGCTACAGCTTAACAAAACACAAGATGCATAAAAAATCTGTATGCATGTGGCTAGTATGTGAATAATTTGAATAATAATATAAATTTTAAATAAGGTAGATTACTAAATCTTCATAACCATAAATTCCTACACTACTGAATTGTAGGTTATTTCAAAACTTAAAAAGTATTGTGTGTAATGACACAATATTTTTATTCATTTAGCTTAAAGAAAAATCCATCTGAACGGGCTGATTTGAAAACATTAATGGTAAGATTATTCTTTTATGTAGATATTTCCATTATTCAAATTGCCAAGAAAGTAGTGGCAGAGCAAACTTAATTTTTACTTCTATATAAAGTATGTTATGCATATAAAAAGTCTGAAAGAGTGAATTAATAAATATTGTTCAAGTAAATAAAGTCTTAAGTATGTTGACAATGAATTGTAAATCTCGATTTGGTACATGAGAAGTGTTAATATTAGGGGTGAAATTCTGCCAGCACCTAGTACTGAAACTTATTTGAGCTGCTTTATCATTTTTTATGTTTACACCTATATATTTTTATTTCATTTTTCAAAAACAGGTCCACTTGACCCAGCTGAGTACCTTTACTTTTGTCTTTGAGAATTTCACCCCTGGTTAATACTGATATATATATATATATTGCATTACCGTTATCAGTCCAGGTTGTCAACTTATTGTGATAGTGGATAAGTTATTTATTTATACAGTTTGGAAGTAGTAACTACTGCATCATTTGTTTATATTTGGCAGTTTTCACCTACTGACACCATCAAGGATTTCATGGTACTTGCTTACTAAAATGTCTTCACTATTCTAACCAAATCATTTGTTTCAATTTTACTTTAGAAACACGTCAACCATAGAAATAACACCATAAAATAAGATTAATTATTTCTTTACTTAAGAAGTAGTAGTGTTCCTCCAAGCAGTTAATGATGGTAGAATAATAACCATAATGCTCTTTGCAAAAATTATAGTGATGTTCAACTCTTAAACAAAGTGGAAAAAACTAAATAACCTTGTATCAGTTACTATTTGACAATGGTGTACTGCATAGTAATTGTTTTGCTTTCTTAAATGAAAGTGGCTTGGCATGGCCAGGTGGTTAGGGCACTTGACTCGTAATCTGCGGGCCACGGGTTCGACTCCCTATCCCACCAAACATGCTCGGCCTTTCAATCGTGGGGGTGTTATCATGTGAAGGTCAATCCTACTATTCATTGGTAAAAGAGTAGCCCAAGAGTTGGTTGTGGGTGGTAATGACTAGCTGCCTTTCCTCTTATCTATCACTGTTAAATTAGAGACAGCTAGTGCAGATAGCCTTCGTGTAGCTTTGCTCGAAATTCATATCAAACCAAACTTGAATGAAAAGTTTTTTTAAAATGTTATAATGACTACTTTATATATTTGGGGTGAACACAGTCCACTCCAGAATATATTCAGTTTCCACCATATACAATATATATGGTAGGTACCTGTAAAGCACTTTGATAAAGACCTTGTTCCTTTGAAGATTTATATGACTTCAGAAATAGATATGGATAGTATGTTAGCAACCATAAGTTATATTTCCAGTTTATATATATTACATACTTACTCTAAAATACCCTAAGTAAATATATTTTGTAATGTTCCAGTTTATTCTTTTTTATCATAAATATTATTAACTGGAGATATAATTTTCTTTAATTTAATACGTGCTTTATTTTTAACTTAATAATGGCCAAATTCTCTTTTTAATTTAATTTAGCAAAGTCATCCATTCATCAAACACTCTGAAGCTGAGTCAGTCGATGTGGCTGGTTGGGTATGTAAAGTTGTTGGGCTAAAACCAACAACTCCAAACAAAGGCACACCTGAAGGTGATTCTTAAATACTGAGTAGGAGCAATTTTTCCTCCCCCACCAAAAAAAAATTATGTACGTGTATACCACAATCTTCAGGGCTTATTGTCCACCAGTCATAATGTATGTTATTGTATTATTGGCTTACTTTTCCCTTTTAACAACATTGCAAGTGGAGCCAAGTTTTCAAGAATATCCAGGAAAGTGAAGGGTACATCTATGTGAAACATCTGATACTGTGGTATCCAGGGTCTGTGATAGGTCTGGCATAATTGTTAAAAGTCAAGGTTTGTGCCATGTTGCTGAATTGATGTTAATAAATAGTTTCATTCCATATTTGTTAGATGTAACTCATATTTTGTGTAGTGAATCTTAAAGTTGTTTTTTTTTGTTGTCAATATCTCTTGGTGTATTAATTTTCTTTCTTTCTGGGTTCTTGTGTGGAAGGTTAACAACTTTGTGAAATGTCTCATTGCTGTTTTTTTTTATCAATTCAGTAGGAAAATAAAAAAAATCATTTTGGTTATTTCTCTCTCTAATGGTGCAGAGATGGATCTAACAGTTTAGTGTATGTCAGTGAAGTTTTTTTTTGTACTTTATACAATAAACTATTATTTTAGTCATTCAAGTAGTATTATAGTGAAGAAAAACCATATGTGTTTGGTCAGTACAGCATTGTTTTTGAGGTAATTTTTCACACAGGTTATTACATTTAATTTTATGATTATCACTTATATGCATTGTATATGTTAACACATTTTAGCTCAGGATAAAAAAAAAGTGTTAACGCATTAATGCTAATGTGTAATAATTTCATTAGTAGTTACATAGTGAACATTATTTCCGACAGTACTTATACACCGCAGAACTCCTGGTTTTCTGCAGAATACCACACTATTCTAGGTTTTCCTTTTCAAAGATGTACAGATTGTATTCTAGAAGACAGGTACTTAATTTTCAGTGAATATTTTTTAAACTTGTTGTTGTTGTCTTACATAGAAAGTTTTTTTTTCATTTGAGAGTTTGTAAAAATATGATTTCTGTGTTTGTAAAGATATTACCCACTTTAGAACATCCTTTTGTAATAATTTATCCTAGCAATGCATTTTTTTTTCCCAATGAAAACTGTTAAATTAAGATAATCAAATTTCATATGTGTATAGCCCAGTCAGTTGGTTTTGCTTCAGTTCTATCCAACTACATCTTGGTAATGTTTTTTTCTCAAAGAATCTAACATCTCTGGTATAACAGTTTAGAAACAACTTTGAAATTCATCATCTTTTTCATTAAGTTATATGATGTTTGTTGAATTATAACATTAGAGCTTAGTTTGATTTTTCAGTCTTAATGTTCTACAAAGTGTTAAGGATGAGAATTTTCTGGATTTAATAGTTTCCCACAAGATCAATGTAAATCCATTGGGGAAAGTTTGTAAATTAGATGGGGAGTTGAGTTGGAGCTTGAAAATTAAATTATCTTGCATATGCTGTCGAAAATTTTTGTTACAAGTCTTGGAAGTAAACAGTGAAGTCTGCTTGACTAATGGTAGGCAGTCTTTCTAAATCGGGCTCATTTCTGCCTGTAAGATATGTACCAGATTAGAACTAGCACACGTGTAGTTGTCACATTTATTTAGAGATGAAAATACTGATAAAAGTTGATGATGAAAATGCACACAAACTACATGAAATTATTAAACGTAAAATTTAAATGAACAGTCCTTATTTAGAAAAAACATCAGTTGGAAAGAATAATATCCTTAAAACTATTAAATGTCTTGTTCTGGAAAGTTAGTTTTTCTACTGTTATTGATATTAGTGTATAGCTATAACAGTTACACGATATAGAAGCAGTAATATTAATGTGAATTCTGCATTTATTATATGTAAATTTTAATTTAAAGTACACTAGATTTTTGTTAAAAAAAAAGACCCATTTCCTTCCTTCCTTAGCCCCTACCTCCAAACTATCTTGCTGATTGTGGACTTGGCTGTGCTTACCATTAACCTCCAGATTTTTTGAGCTTGACCTATTCTCATCCCTGAACGTGTACAGTTTCGAAACGATTGAAATGTTGGTCTGATAAACAGTTTGAGTTGGCAGTTTAAGGCAGTGCATTATTATTGTTTTAAATGTAATTAACAGTTCTAAAAAAATGTTGACTTTCGTTTTTTTGTAAATACATGGAATTCCAAACCATAAGTTAACCCTAATGAGTATAGACAAAATTAACATAATACACTTATAGAAATATGTCATACATTTTGGCTTGCAGTAAACTCACACTGGTATACTTCTACTATTAGTGACCATTCATTATCGTGCACATTAAAAACATAAGGTATTAGCTTGTTATTGATGTTCTCAGAGCTATAGGATGTAGATTTTTTCTTATGTAAATTATCCAAAGTTAGCATATTTTTGGAAACAAACTTCCAATACAGTCTGCTTATCATGTGTCAAATCACTTAATATAAATTATTATGTGGTGTTACCTCTGTGATCTTCTATTCAATTTCAGCAGTATGAGCTATAATGCTTACCTGTACATAATTTTTATTTTTATCTTTTAACAAGAGTGCATGGGTTAGGTGGATTGTAATCTTATGTTATAAGCGTATCTCGAATTTTTTTGTTAGTTCAGATAAAAGGTGTCATCAGTGTAGTAAAATATAGTTTCAACTATGTGTTATTCAACCTATAGGAGGTTTGCATTTTGAAGAACCCACATTTCCTGTAAAAATTTACTTCTTAGCCATTAATTTAGTTTTGTAAATTGTTTTGGATCAAACTTTTTTTTTTTAAAGTAGAAATGAGTGTGGATTTGAAGTTATGAGATTTTTTTTTGTTAAACTACAGGTTTAATAATTTTACAGTGTATAATTTCTAACTACTAATTTCCCTCGAAATGAATGTCGCCACAGAGTTTCTGAATGTTGACACAAAACGATTCACTAAAAGAATTTACTCATAGGAGTGAAGTGTGTTCTAATCATTCAAAAAATAACAGTTTTGTGCTTTCATCCTTTAGATATATTTAGATGTTGAAAGCTTGAACTGCTACAAAGACATTAGGGTGGCCTGAAGTTAATTGTAACTATATAATCAAGTGTAGACTGTATTGTAATTATCAAAAGAAATATTTTTATTTAAACCACTCTCAGTCATTTTAATGTTAAATCTTGCTTTTAGAATAAAATCTAAATGAACATTCCAACATCAAGCTAAATGTATGATTTTCTTATTTCAGGTTTTGTGCATTTTTACTTCTAAAAACCTTAAAATGTTTTATAAAGATTACAGTGAACAAAATTAATGATGCAGTTTGAAATACCTGTTTAGATACCTTAGCTTCCATACTTTGGTGGGTAAATAATTGTGTTGATTTTTATACATTTCTCTGTTACTGTTTACAGCAAATTACATTCCAGTATTATTATTATTGTTGAATTTTAGTGGTGAAATAAACTGTTGTCATTGAAAATCTTTGAATTGTTTGACCAGATAGCTGAATATAAATAAATAGGCAACACAACTGAATTTATTTGCCAACACTGATATAACCTCAAATTGATGCATTGCTCACATCGTTGGTCATTCATTTGACCTACAAAAATAGAGAGGATATGTCCTTAAGGTGTCCCAGGTTCTACAGAAACGAATATATATCTACATGATTCTCTTTCTTCTGTGGGAAAACTTTGGGTAACACTGAAGGGGAATAAACTATAACAATGAATGACCAAGGTAATTGTGGGTTATTTGCATTTTAGAACCAGTCTACAGTTAAACCTATATGCATGTATATGTGAAAACTTTTGAAAATTTTAGGTGAACAATAAAAGTTATGTCTAAACTGTAAGAAAATGAAAGTATATGCTTTACATATTACTGTAGAACAGAAATTTCAAGATGTGTGAAGTAGACATTTTTCTGGATATTTAGGTAATATTGAAACTAAACCTATACATTAAAACCACAAAACTAATAGTTACGATCACTAAATTTTGTTCAGCTATAAAGCATTTATGCTTTTTAACAAAACACTGTTTATTAAATTTCTGGATTCTTAAAAGTTTGGGAAGATAACAAAACTTATTGAACTTCAAAGATTTTATTTATTCTATTCACAGATAAAGGAAATGTGAATTGTGTGTGCATTTTTAATACTTATATAATTTTATTGGTTTTTGTATTTTTGTGCACTGACAAATTGTGTTTTAAGTAAACTGTCAAATGATTATTTGAAAATTTTACTTTGAAATGCAGTGTTCACAGTTTCAGAAAATGTGAGGGCTGAGTCCCAGTGGGAAGGAGAAAACAGTGAAAAAACTTAAATTGTAAAATATTTTGAAACTATACATCTTTTTTTAGGGGGGGGGGGTAGGAGAATTTCCCACTTAAGGGCAAACTAATTTAGAGTTTTATTTTTCTGAAAATGTCCCAACAATATGAAGTATACTCATTAATTTTTACTAACAAAGAAAATATTGTTGCAGTGGTTTGTTATTTTATTAACTGAGTTTTTTGTATTATTCAGTAAAAAAAAACAAAATAATTTAAAATGAAGGTTTGTCTGCAGTTCCTGACAATATGACATTTTAAGTTGCAGTAAAAGTACCCACTGTTCTGTGATTTACTTCTCCAATTCTGAATAAACAATTATCTAATTAAACCGTTGAGTTCTTCTAGACTTCCATCAGAGGCACTTGATGTTTTCACTCAATCTAATGATCCCATAAATTCATAATGATGATTTTAGTTGTTTATCTGAACAACTTCCTTTAAAAATGTGCATCTACTTTACTTTTGTGTAATTCGCATATTGCCTCCAGTATGGTATCTATGAATTTTTTGTATGCCAATGAATCAGTCAATTCATGTGGATCATTGTGATAATGTAAATGGGTCTTTCCACAACTTTAGCAAGTTTTACCAAAGTATCCTTCTTACTCTGCTGCTTTACTTTACTTCAGAAACTTTCTTGTGATGTAATACTCCAAATCTTTTTGATAAGATGGCCACCAATACCAGATAGTTATTATGGCTCTTAGATGGTAATCCGCTTAGTGTTTGCAAAACTAGCCCTTTTATATGAGCAGCAAGATGAACAGCTTGCTGTTGCTAATCCATCCACTCACTTTGGAAATGATTTTGGTGAGGTAGATGCTCCCAATGGTTTTAACACACTAATATGATTGTCTTTCTTCTCCAACAACTACTCCCACTGCTGAGCACATTGTGACTCAACAGTAACTTGTGAAGTATTCTAAAATTTTTCCCTAATTTACCTCAGAATAGTCTGCAAGAACTACAAAACAGGAGGATTTGCCAGACACTGTATTACAGGGCAACTCTTATATATCATACACACATCATCTGTGAAATTAATAATAAAGACTGTTTTCATTTTGCATCACATTTTGTGTTTAGACCATTTAGTTATAACTCTGCAGCCCCAGACTCTGGAAGATCAGATAACATCTGGTGTACTCAGAACAGCAGACTGGGCATGACACCTAAGGATTGATTTCATTGCAAGGGAAGCAGAGATGACTGAGGATTGTTGAGGTGGAATGATGTCTGGTGAGTCTGAAACTGTATAGTGCAATTTGTACAGGACTTCCAGGCTATTGCCAGCCACAGTAACTCCCAAGACTGTCCAAAAAAGAGTGAAAGTGCCATTGGTGAACAAAGACTGCCAATAAGAGTTGTTTTTCCAGCAAGTGAGACAGCAGGCACCAACTATTGAATACCCTGAATCATAAGGTTGTCAATAGCCTCTCTAATCTGATAGGTAACCTGCCAAGGTGACCATAGTCCATGAAGAAACTAGGTTCATGCAAAGCTATTTAATGAGCTGTCAGGAGCAACTTGCCACTCTAGACCAGAGACACAACTAATTCGATGGTTGTAATCCCTGAGTACACCTACCGCACCATATCCACAATTTCAATGGCATCTCAAACAGGTATTGGCTAAGTATCCACAAGAGGGAGGCTTTGTCTGGAACCTCAAGTCCTTAGGAGTGAGGCAAAGCAGATTTTGCCCCAACTGCAATGAAAGAAGGCCTAGACCATTTCTTGAAGCAGGTCGTGCAGGTAACTGCCTGAAATGGCTGAACTCAGGAGCAGGCAGTCCAATGGACCATCCTACCCAGGTGCCTCTACAATGCTGTGCTTGAACAATGCCAAGAGCTAACCAGCCATGCACACATACTCATGGTGCAATGTAACCATAATGATTTCCATTGAATTGGCAAAAATATCCCAGTCCACCCATGGACTTCTAAGGCAAGAAATTATCCAAACTTTGCAAAGTTGTTACTTGCACTTGTACTAACATGTGATGGCAGGTTTACTGGCCGCATTCAAGTTGACATTCATTCATCACTAGTGGGAACATTATATGGTGTGTGGTGACCAGAGAAACAACCAAATGAGACAGGATAAACCTCAGCAGTGAATTGTTGGATTTCCTCTGTACAGAATAGTCTTGGATGTTGTTAGTCCACTTCTGAAGATTGAATAAGGTAATTGGTACATACTCATCACCATAAATTACTTCACAAAATAAACCAAGTCTTATCCATTGGTTAATACTTTGGTACCATCTGTAGCTGATGTGTTTGTAGAATACTGGATAGCACAGCTTTTTGCACCAGAAGAGATCCACATAAATTAGGGATCTAATTTCATCAACCAATTGTTCTCTTGAGTTTGTAAAGCATTAGGTATGGTGAAAATGTGCACTTTACCTTATCAACCCCAGCAGAAATGTAATACAAACTACTAAGTGCACTGCATGCTAGCCAATATGTTAATCCAGGTTGAACTGACTGGGATGATCACTTATACCAGGGGGTCACCAAACTATGGCCTGTGAAGTCCGTTCATCCGGACCGCCGCTGCAC